TATTATTATTATTATTATTATTATTATTGTGATCTTTCGCGGCCCACTCAGCCATCATTCAGCCACGTTATCCTCTGTTTAAAACCAATCAAGACTATCGGCAGTTATTAGCGTGTCGATTAAGCGCCAACGTGCAACTTACTCGACACGATGATTTTATCGTTGCGATACGATACAGGCGATAAACGCTACGGTAATTTTCCGACGCGATGCCGGAATAAGGACGATCATTATCCGATTGATAAACAGTTTTTTTTTACCCAAATCGCGAAGAAACGTATTATTACGTGCTTCAATCAGTTATTACGATATCGCTAAATTATATAGATTAAAGTCTCGATCGCAGGCTAGAAGCTTGAATCGAGCGCAAAGTATAACTGCGGGGCGCCGGAAAATAACTCTCTTAACGCGCGCGTGCACCGAAAGAACGCCAGCTGATTAAGCGTAGATTATTTCCTATTATTTGCATCTCAAGTCCGACAAGTACTGCTTACGCACGTTCGCTCAGCGGATTGCATTATCGCGATTGCAGACACGAACACCCGTGCGGCACATGCACGCGGCATTCCCGTGATTAGCCGACGAGCAGGCAGACTAATTACCGAAATATCGGGTGCAACACGCGAGTATTACCTTGTACGTCAACATTAATGTGTAATAATGGCCAGGGTATCGTTGTGCAAACTCCGATACATGTGCGTGAAGCGTGTGGCAGGAGAAGGATGGCTCCGGGGACGCGAAGGGGGAGAGAGAGAGAGATAGAGAAATGGAGAAGACAAAGTGACGGATGATTACGTGTCAAAATGCGACATAACGTTTCGCGTCGGGGAACGGGATCGCAGGTGACACGATTGCGACCCGCACCCGTATAGTAGCCTATGATCGGCTTGCGACCTGGTATCTTCGCAGCCCCCGCTGATAAACGAGCCTGTTGCAAATTACTTTATCGCGACTGCACTTTCAACAGACTCCCTCCGCACCGCCCCGGTCTCGATAAACGCCCTCGGCGAGATGCATTATTCAGAAGACGCTATTCGACTCAATTGTGTACCGACTAACCGGTGAAAATGCTTAGCGACGTGATTGACAAATAATCGGATTACTTACAATTACGTAAATCACGATTGTAAGTGACTATTTTCTAGCTGCTTGAAATGGAGTTGTAACACAATTGCTTTTAAAGTCAGTGACACGAAGAAAAAGAAGTAAGAAAGTAAGACATAAACAGCAAGTGAATCGATAAATCATAGTAGAGAATATAAAAATTATGATACAAAAAAACGTAGACAATGAAGACCAAAACTTAATCAATCAGAATCCTTCATGGAAAGAAAAACTTTGATTGGTCAATTCTTTCATGATGTTTTATTTATTATGCGTTATGCAAAAATCTGTGCTCCGATCTTAAACGCCGCAGCATAGACTTTTGCGTAATATTATATATAACGCATAAGTGAATCAACCAATCAAAATTCTTCTTTTCCATGAAATGGGAAGAAAAGAAAGATTCTGATTGATTGATTGATTAATTCGCTCATACACTATGCGTTATGCAAAAGTCTATACTTTGGTATTAAGAAATAAGTACAGTGAAAGAAAAAATTAACTGAATATGACATAACATTTTTAATTGGTTGCAGCAATTTTTTAGTTGCGTTAGCCTATACTAACATATCGAAATCCTATACTAACATAGGTTAACGCAACCAAAAATTGGTTGCAGCTAATTAAAACTGTTATGCCACATTTTACCATCTAATTTGCTGCAGCAGCAAATCTTTTTTTTCAGTGCAGTAAATAAATTAATATTTTCTATTGTTTACATTATTGCCTCATGTTTTTTTGCATCATAACTATAAGCAATTGCAAATCCAAATTGATTTGCTTATTATTTAAGTCTTACTGTTTAAATTATTTTGTGTGTCATAGGTTTTAAAAGACTGTCTACAAGTAATATTATATTATACAGTAAAAAAATGATCAGTCAATTATTTTTCTCATATTTGACTGTAATTGGTTGATTACTAGTTTTATAGCTTATTGTATTTCTTCCATGTAGATGGTTAAAGTTATCACAGTATCACAGAAATCGCGAGACAATAATGTAAGCAAATTCAAAAATTATTGGTTTACTCACTACTTATGTCTTATACTGCTTAAATTTTTTGTGTGCTATGGACTTTATTCTCGTCTGCTGTCAATCAAAGATTGACACAATAGAGGGAGAATTGTCTTATTTCTATACCAATGTAAATCATCTTTAATTTTAACTCAACTTACTTTTTATCTTTTTCGAGTTCCTAAGAATTAGAAAACGATAAAGAGTAAATTAAACGGACCTAAATTAATTAATCTACATTGACAGAAACAGGCTTTCTTAAGATCAATCAGTTATCTTAGTTCTCATGATCAGTAGCTATAACATAATTTGATATCAACTTTTGCACAGTTTTCAAATATCAATATCTTATTATCTTAGTAAATAGAAATTTCTTATTACAAGCTTGATTTAAGGCTTTGTTAATAATTATTGAAATGTGATATTTAAATCCCGTAAACTGAATGCATACAAGATGAATGTGAAACCCCGAAGCGATTCTTCGTTCTCATTGAAAACCGACCTCGATCGACTCGCCAGAAGCAATTAGCGTACGCCATAGCCGGATGACGACGATTAGAGCATCGTAACACAGCGATTTTCTTGACAGCGTGCGAACTCTATCGATTTTAACACAGAGGTCGACCACACACACAGGTCGTCTCGAGATACAATGGATGGCGAGTGCAAACAAAAGCAAACGTCCACGCGCCTGTCCGACGGCAATCAATTACGGAATTGCTGGAGTCAGGCGGTTTTGACTGGGCTGTGCGGGCAATTTATCAGATTAATCATGGAGGAAGTGATTCCCGGCGGATGATGGAGACCAACATGGCGAGCGAGCGAGTTCCATATGTCAGGAAGTGACCAGGTGTCGGCATCCAGCCTGACCGGCCTGGAGAGGCGAAACGCAACGGTGGCAACGTGTGTAACACACGGAGAAGGGGGTAGTACAACGGGGACACGCGATATCGAAACCAGCTGTCGATCGCGAATGTATCCCGAATATCGTGTCGTTGCGCTGTACTGTCCCGTCCGTTGCATTCCCAGGGAGAATGCAGACGAGAGCGCGTTCAAAGGCGATATATCGTCGCGAGACCATCGCCCTTGCCAGTTGCCATCGCAATTTCGCTGTCGGTACGCAATTTGCGCGGGTGTTATCTCGCGGCGACGACAACAGAGAGACGATAACGCTCGGTGGCGCTTTGAAGTATGAAAAGTGCGATAGTACTGCGTTAATACGTCGTTGGGAGTCGTATTTGTACTGGCGTTATGAAATACGTTTCCGATAAAGTGGATGTATTCTTACTAACGATATCGCGAATAACAATGGCGAGGTAAAGGCAGATTAGAGATTATATACTCAGTGAGAGATTATATACCCATATTGAGAAAATAGTGTTTGTGATTATAATTGCTTGTAAAATAATTATGGTTAGAACAAGCTTCATGTTTACGATTATTATTGCTGTTAATAATGTTCGTAATAATAACCATATGATGTTGTCTCAAACATAAAAAAATTACAATAAACTATTGATAATTTTAAATATTAATATAGTGATATATCAAGATATAAATTGTAAATAAAATAAACATTTAATACATGCAACTCTAATCACTATGAGTATAACTAATTCCCTAAATTTACTTACTATTTATATGGCAATAATAACTAAAAAATATTAAGAAAAAACTAAAGATTTTCAAGCAGTGTGAGATTATTATTAATAGCAAAATTGATTATATTTACATAGTTAAAATAACTATAAATATAGTCTCAAGAATTACTATAATTATAATTAAATTATAATAATTGCAATTATTCCTTTCTCTCAGTGCAGTATAATATATACAATAATAATTCCATACGCAGAAGTTTGAAAATTTAATGACTTCAATTACGCGAGATAATGTCTAATCATCCGCGCAATTATATGAACATCTAATTATGATCAATTACCTGGTATATTTTACGCTCGTTTAGTTGCATTTGCACTCCAATTTTGATGTGAGCGAGAGAGAGAGAGAGAGAGAGAGAGGGGCAATGCGCGCAAACACGTATGATTGATTAGTAGAACGGCAATGTATTTTTCATCGTCGATTCCGCTAATGACTCACACATAGAAACGTGAGATCCCGCGGCATGCAAAATGCGATAGAACAATGGGAGCTCGACACAAAACTATGATTTCAAGCGCGTCGAAGTGCGTACACTATACGTATGAGTGAGTAGATTGAAACTCAATTATTGGTCGTGTTAACGGCTTGGCACCGCATCATCCATTATTTTCGGATTTTGCTCGTGCAGCTAGGCACATAAATTACGCACCGGAGTTCATCATCAAATATACATATATTATCGCGCCGCGTATTTCAGCGCAGCATCATTCTTCAGTATATATAAAATCTGTATTCCCCTACTATCCCTCGTGCGACCACCCGGACACGATATCCAGAGTTAACCGTTTGAGGTTTCGATTCCAGTACTGTCGCCTATTGCAAAGCACGATCGTTGATTGAGGATGTGACGATAATCCAAATTACCTGATCTTTGTATCCTAATATCTTTGTATCCTTTCTTGCGATTCTTTTTCTTACTTTTGTGTATATCTAATCTTCACATCAGAATTCTATCAACGTAGATTAACTGTAATTCTGATTATAAGAATTAGAAAAAAATGATGGGTAAGTTGAACTGAGATTAATCTACATTGGCGGAAAAGAGCGTAAGAAAAAAGTTCTTTGTACATTGAGAAAAAAATTTATGTACTAAATCTTAATACAATTTTGTTTCAATAATACTAAATAAATATTTATTTTATAATCACAAGTACCAATAAATTTTTCTCTCAGTACATATTTTAAATCGTCTTTTGATCGTTCAAGATCATTCACTTACCTTTTGCGCTTTGCAAGCAGCGGCCAACGGCAGAACATCATGAGGATGTGCGGCGTGACGATCACGAAGACACAGAGCGCATATCGCGATTTTGCAAAGGGCGCAATAGAGAGTCACTGCTTCGCCATTGTGATCATTGCAGATCGGCGTACCCTCGGGTCGAGATCCCTTACTTCCACTTGATTGCCAGCTGCCTCTTGGTGGTCCCAAATTGTGGGCTGCCAATGGGCCCCTCTTCGGATGGCAGGACTCTCTGCAGGCGTCGCAGTACAAAACCTGAAAGAAGAATCGCCAAATGTCGAATTTGCGAAATATTACAGAGAAATTAAAAATATGAGAGAGAAAACGCACGATATTCACTTACAAACACATCAATATTTAGAATACCTAATGGATGTCTAGAGAAAAAAATTGTCGCTATAAAAAATACCGATAAAGTTTCTGCAGCGTTCAAAATTTTTTCCCTCCGTTTTTTTTTTACTATATTTTTTTATTGAATAATAAATGCCTAGATATACATGTGTCGATAAAATCTTCTTATTTACGTCAAGCATCAAATATACTTTATGTTATCGAATTTATACTAAAATGAGTATAGACTGAACCTGCCAATAAACATTAATTTCATGAATATTTTTTTCTAGAAGCAATTTTTGCGATATTGTTCGGCGTCATCAAATATTTCTCATTCCGTTAGGTATTTCCTTCTCGAAAATAATATCATTTCGATAATCGATAGCCGAGGTATTGTCGTCACGCGGAAATGTTGCCGGTAACGAATGAAATTGCAGGCGCCATCGATTCTCTCTTTTTTTTTCCACATAGGTACCTAGAAGCGACTGGCGCGACGGACGCGAGTGTAAAATCACAGAAAAAATATCCGCCACTTGTCTCGGAACGCGGTATACCCGAGGGACCGCCACGAGAGGGCCGAAAATGAAATTTAATACTTTGGAGAAAAGCGAGCAAGAGAAGAGGCGAGACAAGGATGCGCGATTGGCGTACAACGTTGTCGCGCAACGAGATATTTCATGCGACGCGACACTTCGAAGCGCGGTAACTCGATCTTTTCAAACAGAACGCCGAACAATATAAAATCGCTCTCTTTGTCACAATGTGAATGCAACGTGGCGACGATTTGCGTGAATACATTGTGCAAACAAGTGTTGTGTGAGCCGGAACTGACAATTGTCGAGAAAATATAATTCTCTATGTTGCTTAAAATTAAGAAAAATTTGTTTAATTATATTATGATAAAATATAGTTTTTAGAGAGATAGATCAAAGTTATTATTTTTTTAAAAATGTAGTTTTCAAAATCGAAAGTATATATATATATATAATATAATTTTCAGGTTTTATAAAAGAAATTCTTAAAGAGATAAATTATGAGATATTTAAATGTAATTTAGATATATATTCATAGAAAGAATAGAATTTTGTTAAAATATCTAAAATTTATTAGATATAAATCTGAAAAATTTTATTTGGATCATAAAATTATGCAGGAGGCTTAAACTGATTGTTAGAATGTTAAAACTTTTTATAGCATTGCCATCAATACTTAAAAACGTTCTATACAATATTTTGATGATTCAACAAAATCATTTTCAAATCTGTATTTAAATTTCTATCTAATTAAATTTTTAGATACATTTTAGATACTTCAGTAAAACTGTTTTTTCCATTCGTTTGTTACATTCGTAATATCAAATTATACTCACAATTTGAGTTATTTTTAATCATTTCTATAAATCGTCACTCAATATGTCATTAGTTTAATTAAAACAATAGAGTTATATAATTTAACTCAAAATGTAATTTGACTAAAATTTAGTTTATTATTCACTAATAATAAGTCCATACGTTAATATAATGGAAGTTAATATAATGGAAGTTATTTATTTTGAAACTATACTAATAATCCCAGAAAGGGATTGATTTATACATGGAAGTTAAAAGTAACAAAATGTTATTTAATCCAATCTCTCAAGAGATTGGATTTACCATTATTCCTTTGATATCTAACAGTGCATTGAGAGCGCATTTATATTTTACATTCGCGCATTTATATTTTAAATCAGAGTAGTATATTCAAAACAACGTTGCATTTTATTGCATTATACCCGGGAGGAACTAAAAGCGAGATAGAAATACCCGTTCTCATAATCAATCGTGACGTTTGACACATCGGTTCGACTGTTGAAATTAACGGAGAACTGTTTAAAGTCTATTTAAAGTCACGAGAATTAAGTGAACAAAAGTGCGCCGCGCCTTTCGTACAAGATTTGTCCCTTGTATTTGAAATTTCGACCAGCGAAATTTCTGTTGTTCAGAAGACACACCTACGATACCCGATATTAATGTCGATAAAGATATATACGGCAGCTCTTGTAGCCAAGAGCGACTCTAGTGCGCTTATACCACGAAGAGAAAAGTTATGAAGTGGACTTCGAGGAAGAACGAGGGGGAGTTAACGAGCCTCTGGATGAGGAAAGCACACAAGAGAAATAAACACGACTGATGCCGCGGTCGTTAAGAATAGTAGCCTTGGGAAACTTTTGCTGTTGCGGATCTTACGACGCGGCAGAAGTTTTTCTAGAGAATGATCAAATCAGCGCCAGGCTAGAAATATCGAAAAACGAAAACGACAAGAGACGTATTAGACATTATCTTTTGACGAAAATAACATCGCATTCGGCAAAAACATGTTCTATATTGCGACGAGATAAAATACGCTAGATAAGCATAATAACCATCGCACATAATAAAAATACACAAAATACTTTTCGATTAATTTTTTTATCGTTCTAAATTTTTTTTTTATAGATTTTTAAGATTGCCAGTATAGCATTATTATCAAATCGACCGGATCATTAATTTAATTATGATACACTATTAAATTCATAATGTCAAATTATAATAACTTAAGTTATTTTCTCATCATTTCTATAAGTCGACATCACTTATACTCAATGTGTCGTTAATTCAACTAAAACAATAAAATTAAATAATTCAAAAATGTATTAAATTCGATTCAAGTTTAGTTTATTATTTACCAAATGCATACATGAACATTGCTAATTACTTTAAAACTAACCACAGAAATGGAATGATTTACATTTTAACACACGTATAAGTTAAACATAACAAAATGTTATTTAACTCAAGGGTCACTATTACTCCTGTGATATCTAACAATATATTATTTCAACTTCAGTTTATGATTACATTTCAAGTCCGACAATAAACGGCGCGTAGTTTATATAACTGAAAGAGCATGTATTTAGAATTTGCATATAAAAATATTATTAAGCCCTAAGGTCTAGCCCTGACTGTATATAATTTGCTCTTTCCTTACATAATTGATAATTTTATCTTTTATTAAGATTTTAATTAAAAATATCAATTTTCAAAATTTTAATAATACCCTATTCATTCTTGTGTATAGTTTTTAACAAAGCCGATGAATGTCTTAGACTTTTTCTTTTCTCGCTAAAGAGAGAAAAGCTTTCTATGGAGCCAAAAGCGGAAAAATGAAAATAATGAAAAACACGGTTATTACATTTTGTGATTTTCTGTTTGAACCGAAAGTACAGATACTTCTACTACACGTGTACATTCCTAGAACTACAAATAGATAAAACTCGAAACGTGAAGACGAGAAACAGAGAAAAGGATTGATTAGACTGAAGAAGGTGAAATTATCATAAATCAATGTCCTTTTCATAAATCAATCATATCAATTATGCATTTATATAGCAAACTATTATTTATTAGTTATTAGCACTTTTCTAATTTAATAATAAAAACTTGTAAAACTTCTACGAGCTGTTTAACTTTGAGGTGCTAACAGAATCCGCTACAAGAAGAATTCAGTTCTTTAACTACACAAAATATCTTCTTCCAAATTTCCTAAAAATTGAATAATAAAAATTGAATAATTATATAATAATCCATAATTACAACATGTTATTATATAGTTTCTTATCAATCAAAATAAAATAAAATAAATATGACAAAATTTTTGTTTTTGACATGATTTTAAATAAATCATAATACTTAATAAGTTAAATCAAAGTGTTTATATGAATAAATCAAATAAAGTAAAAAAACATCAAATCAACAGTATATCTTAATATCTAATAATATTTTTATAAGAACATTTAAAAATATGAAAAGTACTGAAAATTATATAATATTATTAAGCACAAGATCTAAATTGTTTAGCGCTTCTTTTCTTAATTTGTTTTAAATTTTAATTGTCTGATTACAAGATATGATATTTATTATGTTAAAAAAAAGTTAAAAAACTATTAAATAAAGTTATAAGTAAAAACTAAATCAATAAAAGATAATAATAGTTTGTATCAATAGTCAACTAATATAAAATACCTAACGAAACATTAAAAAATCAGAAAAAGAATAATAATGATGTTGCAACTAATAAGCAGCTTTAACAGAATTTGATTAGAACTTTATCCTACTATTCCTATAAAAAGTTCTCCATTCCGAGTAAACGTACATAAGTACGTTTATATACGGCGGCATTCACATACAAAGAATTCAATCAATATTAATGTGCCAATAATTCTCCAATTACTTCTCCGTCCTAACTCGAATAGCTAATAAAAAATACGTCGCTTTTATGCGCCTTATCATGGCTTTATTATTATAATACCTCTCACCCTCCTCCATTTAATCGTCAAATCCTTAATCTTTAATCCCTAGCTAATCAGACGCGTTTCAGGGAAAATCACGCATGCGGTACGACAACCTGCTGTTTCGCTTTACATGTGTGTTCCTCGCACCCTCGTTTATCAATCCCGACCATATGCCCGTTTCTACAATCAGAATTCAAGTGCTAACCTCGCACTGCTCGCACGCGACAGTCGCGTCGCGCGGTTCTCCCTCGCACATTTGGCACTGCAGCCGTGAGTTCCGCGATTCCTGGTACTTGTCGACGATGTGCTGCATCGCACGGTACTTGGGCAGATTATGGGCGCCGCCCTCGTCAAAATATACGGTCTTCTGACAGACCGGGCATGATAGGCAGAGAGTACCACCGGATGGCGGGAAGCCACCGTTCCCTGGAGTGCCGACGTAGCTGCCTGGCCGCGAGCTGGTGGACGTGCTGCTGCAAACCACTCCGGAGTCGGTCTCCGACAGGATCGACAACTTGTCGGCCTCCTGATCGGAGCCTGGTGCGTTGGACGAGTCGGCGGTGGACTCCGGCGGTGAGTCCGGCGGTGCCTGGAGATTTACCGCGCAGGCCAGGCATAGTGCGTGCCAGCAAGGCAACAGCACCGGCTCCACGAACAACTCCTTGCAGGAGGGACATCGCAGCTCGTCCTCCATCGCAGATGCACCGGCGATACGTCGTCTGCCGATCGTCCTGGTGTCCGTGAGCTGTTCCTCGTGGATTTTCTCGAGCCGCGGCAGCTCGCTCGATCGCTTCGTTCGGGTCTGCAGGATTCCTTCAGGATGCCGGACAACGTGGCGATGCAGTCGAAGGTCACCGTTGATCTCCTTTCACCGTCGCAATCGAACGCACTTTGCGTTATTTTAAAACGGAGCGATTTACGGAGGTATTCGAAATTCGCTGCACTTTCTCACGGATTCCGATTCGCTGGGAAAAATGACACTCGAAGGTTTCTTTGAAAAAAGGTCTATCGGAAAGCGATTCTCATAAACTGTTGACGCTTTCAAAAGGTCGCGTAAAAAAGGTTGTAAAAAATAATCGAACACAACAAAAGAGTTGAGTCCTACAGATGTTCTTCAAAAGGATTTTAGTGGAACATGAATCGGCGAGCCTTTGCTTTCAGTCGACGTGGAACGAATGAGAAAGACTTCCAAGCAGGTCAAAGAAAAAATTCAACTATCGATTATATTTAGATCTATCTCAGTTCAGAGATCGCACATGCTTCCTAATTTCATCGTTAAGTACCGCAAGTAGACTCGCAATCTGAATCCCACAATCGCGCGCGGAAACACGCGCGACGGATCCGTATCGATCGCGCCGACAGAAATCCCTCGATCCGCTCACCAATGTGCTCGTTGACGATGCATCGTGAAACAGAGTGCACTTTACGGTACAACGGGCGGATTGTAATCTCTTCCACGTTTCAACGAGAACGTGTCACCTGTCGACCGCGCGCATCGCGGACTTTTTGCATTTTCGGAAGAAGCGCCCGGGGTCCGTTTCGACGTGTTTTCTCTCACGGGTGACGGTGATCCCGACGTTGAAATCACCGAGACTCGATTGTTGATCTCGCTGGTAGATCGTTGGCTCGGGTACAGTATGCTATACTCCACGCACGTTGATATCTGACGATTTTACACACGTATATATATATATATATATATATATATATATACACACGCGACGCACGCGTCGTTTTGGCTCGGACTCGTGAGCACCGAGGACCACGCTTGGCAGAAACCAGCAACACGCAGCCTGCAAGCCGTCACCGAGTTGACTGACTCCCGGCACCGAGTCAAAGAACCGTCGCGCACCACGGCCACGCACACTCAGGAGCGTGATTGTAAAGGGGAACGAGAGGTGTCGAGAAGGATTCTTTACGAAGACGAGATTATCAAACTTGTATTAACTTGTTATTATACTTAGATATCAAAGGAGCAATGATAACCCAATTCTTTGAATTCAATGAATTTTATTATTTTTAACTTCTATATGTGTGCATTTTTAAGATTAATTTTGAAATAAATATTATCCATATTGACGTATGCATTTAGTAAATAATAGATTTATTAAGTGAATTTAATACATTTCCTTGAGTTAAATTAAATTGTTTCATTTCATTATTTTAGTCAAATTAATGATGATGATTGAATAGGAGTAATGGCGATCTATAGAAATAATTGAAAGTAACTCAAATTAAGTGTAATTTGACATTAGAAATTTAACTGTTTAGGATAAAGTGTTATTTGTTTATATATGATCCAAATGAATGGTCAGAGCTTCTGACGCAAGAGTGTATACTTCTTTTATTTCAATTTTTTAGGAACTTGTTTCAACTTTATCATCTTTTTCATATCAGTCCGTATCAAACCGTGATTTAACGAGATTGTAAAGCAAATGCAATATATTAAGAACTACTTGAAAAGATTAATCTACAGATTAATCTAAATTGCATTTAAGTAATACAAAAAAATTAGAGACAGTTAATCAAAAGTTATCTGGATCAAAAATTATTTCAATAAAAAATAATAGTTTTTAAATTTGTACTCTAATAGAAATAGATAAAAATGTATTAAAATAATATATAAAATAATAAAAATCTGAATTTTTTGTATAAATACTTTATGAATTCAAAAATATTTTATGTAAAAAGTTACATTGAGATGCAGATATTAATTGTTCAATAAATAAATAAAATATTTATTTGTTATAAACTAATTGTGAATTTCAATGAAACTTTGCATAAGTCATTTTTAATGCCTACTTAAAATATTTATTTAAAAAATTTAGATTTTTGTTATTATTTTTAAACTTTTTGTTTATAACAATAAAACTAACATCAAATAAAATCAATAATCTAAAAATGTGTTGCTCAATAAAAACAGAATGTTATGAACACAACACTTTCACATATAGTTTGTTTAAAGCGTATAAATATTATAATAATATGTGTATGTGTATTTTATGCCCTTATGACCTCCTTAAGAGACTCTCATTCATTTCATAGAAATTAAAATCGCAAACTTCGCGTAAAGAAAAAATGAAAACTAAACGTTAAAAGAAAGAAATTTTTTAACACTGTATATTTATTGAAAAAAAATGATTTTGTATTAATTATAGATTCAATTGGAAGTAGCCTTATTCAATAACAGTATTATGTTCAATTCTATCAATGTAAATTAACTTTAATCATTCTTACTTTTTATCTTTTTCTAATGTTTAAAAGATAAAAGTTAAACCGAGTTAAAGTTACTCTGCATTAATCGCAGTAAAATTTTGACGTTTGTGAAACAAATATATAAACACATGTTTTATTAAAACAAGAATATAATCCATAAACTTTGCGGTCAAAATTTTGTGGCATAAAGCACTAATCGTTCCAACAATATTACAATACATTGCATTCTAGCAATAACATTGACTGCATTCAGCAAAGAAAGCTTTGCAACTATTGTGAAATTCTTTAATATGATTGGGCTTGCTTTTATAGTTCTTCACTCTAAATGTATAAACCAATCATATTCGAGAATTTTACAACAATTGCAAAGCTGCTTTTTCTGTTGAACGCAGCCATTGCAAACATTGCAGCTATAAATTGCTACAAATGCTACTTCTGGTCTGTGGGAACATACTGCTGAATCAACAAGATTATTTCCAGTTTAATTAATACTGTTAATAATTTTTTTCTATGTGAGAAGAAATATATTCTACAGGTTTACTTTGTACTTTGTAAATGTATTCTTAAAATAGTGTCTGTAACTAATTAAAACGTTATCGATTATTAGCAGTCAGAGCATTTTTAACAGGAACAATTAGATTTATAGAATGTATGAAATATATATCGTATGTATGTGTATATAAATTTTTTCTGTATAGATATAATTGGAAGTATAAATAGTATAATTTTTTAGCAAGTGTCTTCAAATATCGAAAGTATTTTTATTTCGCTTTCAACCCCAATGGGAATCCATTTCTTTCTAACTAAGTCTTATTTTCGTACAAACTATGTTAGGTATATTGTGAAATTACTCGCCATATGGAACCGGTTTCACGCTCTGAGCGCATATTTCAGGGACGCGCCTACATGAGGCACTTAATCGAGGCCATTCGAGAATCGATGCACGCAGACTTCGTCTAAAACAAATGTATACATGCCCAAAAACATTTATTATACAATTACATCCATAGCTGAAATTAAAACGTATTAATTAAATTTGTAATCTGTTTTAGATACATATTTTCTTTCATGGGAGAAAGAAATGAGCGATTATACTTGTATAATTAATCTTTATGTATATCTTAAGTATCTTTGAACTATTTCAATATTTAATTACGAAAAGTTTAGATTGCGAATACTCAGTGTAAAGGAATTCGTCATTTTTTTCAGCCGGAAGAGAAAATGGTTATTTGAATAAAAGTTACGACATTCTCACTTCAACGAAGACGTTGTTGAAATCGTCTTAGCAAGAATGAAGTACTCGCGGTATATATCCGCGATAACTTCTTACAGGCCGCAAGTAACTTCGCGACAATACCTTCTCGCGAAACGTCGCGACAGAAGTATCTCGCTCTGAGATACGAGATAATAAAACGGAAAGACAGCCAGTTTCTCCGTCGCCAGCGAGATGCGTGAGAGAATTCCGGTTCTCTGGAGGGGAAAGGAACGGGACAATGGACAGAGGGTTGGAAAGGGCAGGGATCCTAGATACCGGCTCGATATAATACGCCGCAGCCAGGTGCAACACGATTCATATGCGGTACAGCCAGTTGCGTGCAATCATTCGCATTTACGCTGCTTTTCGACTGAAACTTCTCTTTGTAATGCCCGCTTTTACCAATATAGATTAACTTTAAACAGGGCTGGGTATATGTTTGAAATACTTCTATTTCAAATACAATATTTGCAATACAAGTATATTTTGTATTTCAGCGGAGCACATGAAAGTACTAAATACGTCGTATTTAAAATGGAACGATTAAAAGATTTTTGAATTTTTTTAATTCAAAAGTAAGATTGATTGTCAGTATTTGAAATACAAAATATTTTTATAAGCTTCCATTGGAAATACGAAATATAATTGTCTTACAAGTACTGTTTTTAAAATAAAAGTATTTCAAATACATGCCCAGTTTTGACTTTAAATGAAAATTAAATTCGGAGCACAATTTGCAGGATTAGATATGAATATATAAATTCACGCGGAATTATTTGAACACTAAAGATCCAGCTTGACCGTTTAGAATTTTTATTTCTGATTTGTTGTAAATTAACTTTAATCTCGAGTCAATTTACTCTTTATCTTTTTTTAATCCTTTTTTATCCTTTATCTTAGAACTAGAAAAAGATCAAATTAGTTGAACCAAGATTAAAGTTAAACTACATTGATAGAAATGAGCGTTATGCTCTGTTTTTCGTTGTCTGGTTAATTTTTGATAAACTTAATCGCATTTAACTTGATAATAATGTAAAAATTGTGTTTTTTTAAGTTATGATTAATCACTAAATAGTTTTATAATAGTAACTTTAAAAGTTATTTAGTACAAAATCATCAATTTCGTGCTTAACCATAGCTAAAAAAATACAATTTTTACTGTAATATAAAACATCCAATTACAAAGTAGATGTTTTAAACATTACATTATGCATTTATTAAATAAATTTATTTCAGATACGACTGTGTGCAATGCTAATAACTTCCGGACTTTCAACACAATCAATCTGAAATACTAACAATCCCTCTGAATTAAATTAAATTAGAAAAATCAATAAAGAACTTATTGCAAAAAAGTATTACAATTTTTACATTACACAGGTTAAGTCTAACCACAAATTCACCAGAAAATGAAAAATTGCCTTAATCAAACCAAACGGATTCGCTCTTCATTCGTGTACATGAATGACCCCAGGGAGACCCTGCGGGTGAACTTCCGTGAAACTCTACCGTAAGCTTCGCTCGCGTAATACACCCTTTCCCGGCCCCATCCCGCGAAACGGGAATAACGAAATGTACCGC